TGTAGAAAATGATAATCTTTTAGTATTTAAAAAAAATATTAAAATATTGACATTTTTTTATAATTTTATAATAATTCATAATAATTTTATGACTTTAGCATAATTTAATCAATAATTTTAGCAATAATTTATAACTTAAAATTTGAATCAGTATAGATATTTTAATTTTATACTGTGCGTGCGTGCGTGCGAGTGTGCGTGTGTACGTACATGTGTATGTGCATGTGTGTGCATGTGTGTGCATGTGTGTGTATGTCTGTGTATATGTGTTTGTGTGTGTTTGTGTGCGCGTGCGTAAGTACGCGCGTGTGATAAATAATTATTTAATTAAAAATTAATTATATATTTTTTTGGAAATTTTTTTATCAAAGATTTGTAGCATTTTATCAATAAATACATCATATTTTACACACATAATTATTCACATTTATTTACTATTTATTTAATTTGATTATACGTAATTACAACTAAAATAATTAAGCAGAATTATTATATATATAATTTTAACTACAATTTAGAATGTAAAATACAAAAAATACGTCTTTTAAATATTACCAATATTGATAGTTTTTATAATTTTATATTTATAGTAAATTATAATTTTAGCAATAACTTATAATTTTAAATTTTTATTAATTTAATATTTTAATTTTATTTAATTAAACATTTCTTTATTTTAATAAAAAATTTTTTTTTATTATAGCGAAATAACATATTATGTCATTATTCAAGTAAAGAAAGAAATAATATTTTATGACTGTATTATTGATACTCTGAAAAATATAAGTATAATATAATATAATGAATAACTTTTTATAAAGTTCTGGAAGGAAATAGAAGATTGGGAGGTGGTGGTGATGATGGAAACATGGATGGATAGAGGAAAGGGGGGGGAGGCGATTAAAAAGAGGTACCGAAAGGATATAGATGGGAGAAGCAAGCAGCAAAGACAGAAGAGAAAGAAGAAAGGAAGACCGATGGGGGGAATGATCATGGGGTGAGAGGGAGGAGAGGGGGAAGATAAAAGTATCAGAAATGGGAGAAAAAGGAGGAGGGAATAAATGATGGCGG